AAAGTACATGTATCTTTAATGCTTATCTATGGGTATTTCATACTAATTAATTATTAGTAATGATTCAATTTTTATGCAAAACTAAATATTTTATTTGTTATATTTAAAGTTTTATATTTGTTTATATATTTGAAGTTAGGTTAAGGATTTAAAATGTGAAAGTAAATCGATTAATACCAGAGGCTATTAAACCAGTTACTGTATGATATTTATTAAAAATTAAAATACATCAATTAAAAATATATTAATATTACAAATACTTATGAATTCAATTTATTGATTTTCTGTCAGTGATTAATATATAGATATGTGAATTGGTAAAGTAACTATTATATATTGTGGTCAATTAACAAATCTGAGTGAAAGGCATCGATGGTTTACGTGTTTGCGACACTTCTATCATGCCTGTCATTACAAATGGTAATACAAATGCACCAACACTTATGATTTTCGAGAAATGCGCTCAAATTATTAAAGATGATCATTTTATTTAATTAAAAATTATTAATAATAATAATTTTATATAAAATAATTTATGTAACTATAAGTTTTGTTGTGTTTTAGAGTTTTTGTATTTTTAGTTATTTTTTATTTTAGCAAATTAACAAAAATGTATTTTTAAATAGACTTGTTTATCTACTGTAATATCATAAATATATCTTATTTACTGCATATATATTAAGTTTTGGTCAGTATTATAATTGGCAGTTGGTATTCAGCCTCTTCTCCCTCTAGTAAAAACATTTGTTTTATTTTTAAATGTATATAATAAAAATATTTGATAAAATTAAAACTATAAAAACTTTAAAACACAATAAAATTTAATACAGTATTCTATCTTTGAATAATATACGAATAAATAAAGTAAGGTAATAATTAATTTTATTTCATTCTAATTATTTTGGGTTAATTATGGGTTATTGTTATTACTTACTTGTTAGTTATCACTCAATATACATGACATTAAATGTTGTATTTTGATAGCCCCCGGTAGCATTAATTTTTATTTTGTTGCTAGAATTATAAATACTAATTTACTATATTAATTATTATATTATTTGCTAAATACAAAATTTTATTAAACTGATTTTGTTGTATTTATCTAATATTATTCATTTTTTAAATATATATATTTGCATCTACCCATATTTATTATAATAAATTAATTTTATAAAGAATAGTTAATATTAAATACTTTTAAAAACTTATCAACATATGACTATAAGCACAAAAATATATACAGTATTATAATTAAATTCAGACTGATAAAATTTTGGTTTATTGAATATAACTAGATTGAATAACTGATTATAAAATTTTTAATAATATGATTGTAATTTATTCATAATATAACAACTAAAATAATTAAATATTTTCAAGTTTCACATAACTTAATACAGTTATATTAACTGCTCTAAATAAGACATGATTTTGAAATACATTTATACTTGAATTTCCTTTTGCAAGGCATTAGAAAAAAAGACAAACAAAAAAAGTAAATAAAAAAACTTGAAAAACGTCTCAAAAAATTCTGCAAATAATTATTGAATAGAAAAAACAAAAGAAAATTTTGATATCTAGATTACACCCTTTATTTAATCAGAAAGTAAATGATATTTTAGCATAAGTTAGCATAACGTAAATTATAAAGCAAGGAATGGCGGTAATCGAGTCAACGGCTCTATTCCTATCGGTCGCGCTATTAATCCTACAAAACTATGTAAATCATAGGGCGATTGAGACGAGTGACCACGAGCTGAAGCATGTGTACGATTTTATTGTGGTGGGCTCGGGTTCGGCCGGATCTATAGTAGCATCGAGGTTGGCTGAAAATGCCCACATCAATGTACTACTGCTAGAGGCTGGTGGGCCAGTTGGTGGCAACACCGATATACCCGGAGCTTATTTTAGCTTTTTCAATGGACCCATGGACTGGAATTTTACCCATGAAGAACAGTTTGTGGGCAAAGCGTTTGTCAATAGGTAATAAAATGCATATTAATCTTGTGTTAACCTTATGGCAGGTGGTAAAAATTAAGGTGAAAAAAGAGATAAACTGCTGTCAAAGTCAATATTACTTAACCATTATGGTTAAATTTTAAATTATTATTAACTTGTTGACTTTTTTGTCTAATGCTATTAATAGGAGAATCCCGGAGAAGATAGGACTGGGAATTGGCGGCAGTTCTTCACACAACACATTGATCTACAATAGAGGCAATCGACGAGATTTTGACATTTGGTCGCAAGAGTTTGGTGCCCACGGCTGGAGCTATGATGAGGTGATGCCGTATTTCTTGCGGTGGGAAAATCAAACCGACCCACATCTGGCCAACAATGGCTTTCACTCGACAACCGGCCCAATACAAGTGACTTCGTGGGCGAAACCAAACCCTATTATATTATTACACCAAAAAGCGGTCAACGAATTAGGCTTTAAAAATGTGGACATCAATGGTGGCGAACAGTTTGGCACAACTATTGCACAGGCATTCATTGGCACCAACGGTGTGCGTTCGAGCGCTTCAAACGGCTTCATTGACCCCAACCCCTACCCCCATAATTTACACATCTTGCCCAATTCATTTGTCACCAGGGTGCTATTTGAGGGCAAAACGGCGGTGGGCGTCGAGTTTGTACGATACGGAAAGCTTCAAACTATGTTTGCTAAACGAGAAGTGATCCTCAGTTGTGGTATTGTTTTGATATTTTATTAATTCATAAGATTATTTGATCACTATCAGCTAACCTACATTCTAGTGTAGCTGCAATTATAAATTTTATGTCATGTAAAGTTACTTTTTTAAAATTACTTTTTAAAAATACGTTTTACTTTTTATAAATTCTGTACAACGACCACTTATTTAATTTTTTTAAAACTTGCCTTCTAGTGCTTAATAATGTAACATAAATTATAAATCTATAAAACTAAATTTTGTTGTAATAGCTACAAATATGAAGTATAAGAATGTATTGTACATGAATATCAAATCATTGTAATTTGTAAATAATTATTTTAAATGTTGGCTATTAATTAAGAGAAATTGTATTTTTAGGCGCTGTTGGATCACCGCATACACTCATGGTGTCCGGCATCGGTCCCAAAGACCAGCTTAAGAAGTTTGGTATCCCTGTTGTGGCCGATCTGCCAGTGGGCGAGCACTACCAAAACCACCCTGGTCTTACATACAACTTTCTAATAAATCCAAAATACAAGTACGTGGTCGGCGAGAACTCGGCGATCACCGTGCGCAATCTGAACGAGTTTTTCGCAAACCACCGAGGACCACTAGCGGCGCATCACAGAACTATCACCTACCTGTTTACAAAAAACAACCAACAGGGTCCGCACCATCCCAACTCCAACTTCGAGACCGGCCTGTATTTGTTTCCCCAGAATCTGACTGAACTGCCCTTCCGTTACGACCGGCAACACGAATGGGACGCATATCACAGCCAATTCATGGGCAAAGACTACCTCCTTATCCACGCTATACTTTATCGACCGAGAAGTATGGGTTACGTACGGCTCGTGTCTAACAACCCGTTTGTTTACCCGACTATTAATGGAAAATTTTTGACCCATCCCTTGGATATGGAAGATATGATTGAGACATTGAAATATGCGTTTTTCGTATTTGAACGCTCGTCATTAGCTAAATACATGACCCAAACCGCACCCATACCCGGCTGTCAGTACTGTCCCAAAGGGTTTATCTATGAATGCGATTCGTATATCCGGTGCCTAATTGACCAGTACTGCGATTCGGGCTTTCATTCTTCGGGAACGTGTCGTATGGGTTCAGTTGACCGCAAGGATGTTGTGGTCGATCCACGACTCCGAGTGAAAGGCATCGATGGTTTGCGTGTTTGCGACGCCTCTATAATGCCTCTCATAACTAATGGCAACACAAATGCGCCGACGCTTATGATTGGCGAGAAATGCGCTCAAATGATTAAGGATGACAATCATGTTTAATTTAATATTAAATGTATAAAATTGTTAAAATTATAATTAATAAAAGTGTTATTGTGTATTTGTAATATTGGAAATTATTTAATCTGTTAATCTAAAAATTCGATAAAATTATTTTAAAATAGTAAAATGTAGAATACTGGGTTTATTTCCAATTATAACATTGACCATCAATTAATATACATCGTATATAAGTTATAATTGTAATATTACAGTAGATAAATATGTCTATTTAAACATACGTGTTAAACTCTAACGAAAATAAAGTCGTAAAAATATTATATAATTAATGTTAAACAGCAATATTAATAGATGATCACTAATAAGTAATGTCTTGGTTTGTAACTCCAGTATGTATTTAAATTGCCAAAAATTTTGTCCAAACATTTTAATGTATACAAAAAACTAATTAATTTTAATTGAGTTTGAATTAATTGAGACATTGACTGATGGGTCCAACATTATAATTAAATATACTAATTTATATGTCATCATTAAATTTAACTTATAGGTTTACAGTCTATATTTTAAGTTTTATATGAGTTTAATGAAAAATTATAAAAACTTTCATTTGTAAAAATTGTTATATTTTAAAATGTGTCAATTATATAAATTTAATATACCTTTTGCCATGATAAGACTATTTTTATTTTACCTAAACTTAATTAACGGTATAAAATAGTAAAATAACAAATTTACAAATTAAAACGTTATATTAAAATGTGATTTTACAACAAAAACTAATTAATACACATTGTGTCACAAATTCAAAATAATTTAATTGTTAGTTCATTATTACAACATTGTAACATTAATAATGAGATAAATTAACAAGCAATTTATATCCAATTAGTTAAAAATAATTTAGTAAAACGCTAAAATAAATTTATTGTAAAACTTTGTTTTCAATTTATCACATTATTTAACATTGATATTTATTAGAATTAAAAATTATTATTTAAAAAATTAAAAGTTTAGTTAAATAAATGATATTATAAATTTTAAAAAATAATGCCACAGATTTAGACCAATTACTGTTTCATTATTTAAAAAATAAATGCATATAATGTATTGCGGCAATTAATTAATTTTTTATTTTCTTAATACAAGTTGTAATATAATACAAATATTTTATTTGAACTTAAAAATATTCAATTTAATTACAAATTGGAATAGGAATAAAGCATCCATCTTATATTATTTTATATGTTTTTAATTTTTAAAAACCTATAAAATTAATAATTTTTGGCAATTTTGTAATTTATTATTTGTTCAGAATTTATGTAAAATTAAATAATAAATACGTTGGACAATTTACATATTGGTAAATATATCAAGTACAATTTTCTTATTGTTACATAATTATTTCAATAATTTTTATCATAGTCAAAAACACTAATTAATACATAAAAGATTAAATATGATTAAGATATAATTTTTATAATATAATTCTATAGTATATTAAAAAATAATGCTACATTTAAAACTTAACGTAACTCAAACTTAAGAGTAATTTTATTTTTAGGCCCCATTGTGGTGCCAATGGCCAACTCAACCTTATCCAACGGAACCAGTGATTGAATACGGTACTTTCGTAATATACTGGCTAATAAAGCCTTTACTGTTTGCAACGCAAATCTATTATAAATATAAATATATTATTAAAAATGTAAAAATTATTATACATAATAATTAACAATTATTATTTAAAATGTATAATTTTAAATTTAATATAACATAAATAATGACTTTAAATTAACTATAATTTTTGATTAAATCAATGGTCATAAAAGACAAATAAATTCAATCTTTAAAATCATTAAGTAATTGTAATTAATGTACTAGATATAAAATATGTTTTATTAATTTGATGTACAGTATTACAACAAATTAATGTTAAAAAATCAATTTGAAAAATTACAACTTTCTTTAAAACTTACCATTAATTTAATATAATTATCTAAATATAAATAAGAACTGTGTATTAATATAATTTATAACTGTTAATAAGTAATCTAAACTACCTTAATTTATCAAATAAACTAATCTCATTTACATTAATTAACCCTGTTAATCACTTTCTAGCACTATCACAGATATTACTAGCTTTATAATTTTAAAAAAGATATCTGGTGCAAGTATCCAATTTATATTATATTTTATTTTCAAAATACAAACTATTTCCTATTTAAATA